CCGGGTGTCAGCGCGGGATCCCGGCTCGACCCTGCGCACCCGCCTGCCCACGTGCGCGCCTCCCGGCTCGGCCCCGGGGGCGGGGCTGCCCGCCGTCATCCTGCGGCCCCTGGCCACCGGCACGAGCTGTGGTGGTGCTGCCGGCGGCCCCTCCGGGGGCTCTCACAGCCCCCGGTCTCGCCGCCCGCATGACATAAGGGCGCACACGCAGCGGGGCGCCGGGAGTTACTCACGCCGCCGTGCCCTACGCTTCCTGCTCGGTTTGGCCCCGCTCGGCCACCGTCCCGCCACAGCCGGGATGAACACCCTCCTGGCGCATAAAGATGACGTCTACAGAGCCTCCCTGCTGTAAGCACGTGGCAATGGAATTACGCAATCGAGCCCTGTCTAGCACGCCCTGCTGGAGGGCAAGTGTCCGGCCACGCGGAAAGGACACGTGACTCGCAAGGCCCAATGAGCATGGGGCAGGGGAGCGGAATGGGGGGTTCCTGCCCATGGGTTCGTCTGGCCTCTAGCTGCGCATGTGCCTTCTTGGAACACTGCCCAGTGTCTGCGGATATGGAGATCCGAACACGCGGCTCTAGCTGTAGAACTGCCTGCGGGGTCCTCTGTGGGCTCCCCCCAGGCGCCCTCTTGGCCTTCCTGCCCGAAACCCCTGGTTCAGTGGTCCTTAGGCAGGGAGCTGAGGCGCCGTGAGAGCCTTGCAAAGGTTCCTTGGGGCTGCGCACGGTCAGCGCTCAGAGGCGGGCAAACGCGCGTCACGAGAAGCGCGGAGCCATGTCCAGACAAGCGCGGGTGTAAGGGATGTGCTGCTACAGACCCGTGTGTGGCGCCACACCACACATGCAGGTGCTCCCCATGCTGCTGTCTTGCAGCGGAGAGGTGGGTTTCTTGATCCCAATTTCAAAAAAACCCATGCCAAAGAAAGGGAGGGGCACATAATGGTAGCACTGCACATCTCTGGAAACTGGAGCCTTGCTGGATGGAGTCTCATTCCAGCTGCTGGCCAGGCTTCCTGCCGTGACTGCAGCCCCAGGTGGTCCCCAGGACCCCAGGTAAGGCTGCTGGGGCCAGTGCAGTTCATGTCTCCAGCCTTCCCTACCCCACCTGGGGTAACCTGCCATGTGTCAGAGCGCACATAGCACAGGTGTTCCCCTGGGGCAAGTAGCAATGACACAAGGTATGCTGCTGCTACTTGTCCCCCAGGAAACAAACATCTACACTCATTTGGATGCAGCCAGAGATTTCAAATAGGATTTCATGGTGTCAAATAGAACCCAGCAGACCAGAATTTTTCTGTGATCTTTGCTACAGAAGAATTGCTCTGTTCTTTTACTATAGTCAAAACAGGAGTGAAAGCTGAGAGCTGGCACTTTCTGAGGAGTGCCTGGCCTATAAGAAGGTTGAGAACCACTTCTCTGGGTCCTCATGCCCCAGTTGCATTTTAAGTTAAACTGGACCACAAGGAGGCAGTGGTTTTGGTGGAGAGTCAGGAAATGGGACTGGGAAAGCCAAGGCTTTGGATCTTCCAGCTTTTAAACGTGTTGCTCATTTAAGCTTGGATTCTTTTGTCTTAAAAAACTTTTGGCCTTTGTGTTGTGTTCAGGTAATTTGAGAAGTAAAGCAGTTTCTCAGTCTGAGCTATCCAGCTATCTTGCCTGGAAATCTATTCTTTGCCTTTCAGATAGTGCAGCTGGGGTAGAAGCTTTCAGTGAAAGTAATTGAAGCACGTTTGTTCTGATAAAGGTCAACTATTGAAAGGAAAAAGAAGACTGCATGACTTGAAAGGCTCCAAACATTATTTCCACTCCTCTTATCAGTAAAGCAATAACAGATCCTCAGGGCAGCATGAATCTGAATTCATATCCCTGCGGATATTAAAGATGATATCAGAATATATCATACCACAATTATAGTTGAAACTCTGTTGCTTGTCTTATTTGGCAGATACTTGCCTTTATTAAAGCAATGGCTCTCGGCTGTGGGGGCTGCCTGTCCCTTTTTCAGGCTCTGGGGCCCGGGAGCATGGCCACCTCCCCTTGTGGGGTCTGCTCCCTTTTGGGGTCTCTGGCATGCCAGCTGGAGGAGCTCCAGGCCACAGTCCAGAGACCGTGTGCCATCAGGGACTGTGAGCAGGAGATTGACTCCGCGTGCCAGGACCTTCTCCTCCAGGAGCCGGAGGGTAGACCACAGTCTCCCTCCAGGACAAAGGAGGACTCTGGGACCTCCCGCTCTGTCCAGTCAGGGGCATGGACCAAGGTGGTCAAGGGCCCTAAGGCCCGCTGCACCAAGGCCCCTGCCCTGCCAGAGCTTAACAACAAGTACGCACCTCTTGCTGCTCCAGCAGAGCCTGCTGAGTCGCCAGCTTCCGTAGGCAACACAGGCTTAACTGCAGTTACCGCCCCCGCCTCCCCAAGACAAAACATAAGGTGTTTGTTGTGGGAGACTCCATCCTGAGGGGGACTGAGGGGGCAATCTGCCGCCCTGATCCCTTAGCCCGGGAAGTCTGCTGCTTCCTAGGGGCCTGCATCCAGGACATTGTGGAGAACATCCCAAAGCTCCTCCAGCCCACAGACCACTATCCTATG